CGCAACGGTAAGTCATGTTGCCCCACGGAAAAGCCAGGCAAACCTTGGCTCAAAGTTTTCAATGCTCGCGTACGAAAACAAAAGATTTTTTATTGAATTTTGAAATGTTGCGCTGAGGTGAAAACCCCTTTGCACTCCCCCCTCGTTTGTACACCTGACAGTCAGCCCCGGCGACCCACATTTCAATAGAGGGGGAACCACACACACATACACACACGTGAGTGAGTGAGTGAAAAAGCCGCGGGTGTCACGCTGCATTTGCCGCAAGGAGCGGCAAGAAGCATTCAGCGAACAGAATCCATAGCCAAGGTGCAGCTCGAGGCGGAGGCGGAGGCGGAGGCGGACAAAGGAGACTCAAGCAAAGCCGGCACGTGCTCATGGGAGAGACGTACACTTTAAGCAATATATACATATTAATAATATATATATAAAGAAAATATAAATTTTTGATCAAAGAAAATATTAAGCAACAGCCTGAAGCTTTAAAATATATTTACTTTCTTAAGAAGATTTCATACAAATTAATATTTTAGAAAGTTACTAAATATTTCAAAATAAGAAATACCTTTATAAAAATAGAATATATCACATTTTAACCCCCCTAATTATTCTCACTGCAAATGAAGCTCCTTTCGGGTTTTCCAGTTTTCCACATCGCCTTCTGTGCGATCAAAGTTTTAGCGGCGATGTTTTAAAGTTTGTCAAAAGCGTTGCAATAAATAAACGTGGCTGACTAAAGGCTGCAACGTTAAATGTCTTGAGGGGGGAAGGCAGGGAAAAACAGGAAGTAGAGGAAGCTATTATAAAAGGGATCCTGTGGCTGTGTGGCTGCGTTTGCGAAACATTTGAAATCGCTTTCGGGTAAATAACATTTAACGGAAATGCTTTCACCTTTCGGCTAGTTGACCTCCGGCACCTGTCAATTTCTGAGGTAACAAGCCGGAAGAAAATCAAGTGAAGCAAAGGAAATTTAATTCACAGTTCAAAAATTAAAAGCAGATGCAAATGATGGAGAAATTTAAAGCCGGCGGAAGCATTAATGCCAGAAATCTTTTCCAAAAGGGAAATAAATGAACCTTAGGTCCGGAATATGGTATATTTGATGAAATATTGAAATGTTTAGTGAACTGAATTTAAAGGAATGAATTTAAACATGAAATTTCTCAAAGAAATCTTTAACAAAAACTGTTCGTAGCTCATCTCCACAAAAAGCGTAAACCAAATGAGGACACAAGTTTTTGCTACTCAGGCAAATAAATTACCAAGAGATGTCCTGGCAAATGAATTGATTATCTTCGAGAATAATTCGAGACTTCTTTTGATGGGGGAAATCCCACACTTCCAGGCCAAGATTCACAATTAAGCCTTTGCTCAATACCCTTATACCCACCTCTTGGTTTTTCCTCCCAAACCCTGTGATTACATAAATCCCAACGAAAAAAGAAAAGAGTCCCCCCTTCTTGAAATACGAGTGGAGGTGGTAGTGTTTAGGAGGAGCCTTTTTTCTCTGATTATGATTGGGGGACACATGGGGCAGATGACTCTGCTGCTGGCTGGACTCAATAAGGCTAAAAGCCAAACGAGGATGCCACGAGGTCCTTGGGTATTAGGCTAATTGCCGGCCAACCTGAAAAGATATCCGGACCGAGATTGAATCTGTGGAGTGGATGCAACTCCTCGGCTCATGTCAATGCCAAGCCAAGTTTAATCAACGTTCCACAGACTATTTTTTTTCTATTTCTTGTTTTAGCTAGTGACTTTTTTCGCATTCTTTAGATCCTAGAGTACACTTTCTGAGGGAGTGTTTATTAATCAGAGATGGTTTTATATGGGATTTATACTTTATGTATGAAACTAATCAATAAAAAATTAGTTAAAAACTAAGATTGGTGGTAGAAGTGGTTAGTATTTATAATTGTACGAGAAATATAACATTTAAGTGAGTCTTTAAATAATCTAAATGTCAGAAGAAGAATCTTTAAGGGTTGTAAAAATGTGGATATAATTTCTATACTAATTACTATTATTAATATATTTTAAGGTAATTTATTATTGGGATTATTAATATATTTGTAGGGTATTCATCACATCGTTCTTCTCGTCAACTTTTCATCTAGTTTATATACATTTTTTTTGTGCTGTATATGTGCCTCTGCCTGATGTTGGCAAATTAATTCAGGAAATTCAATAAAAACAAGCACCGAAACATGGCAAACAAAACTCGTCGAGTCGTCGAGAAAATTTGCCCTCAATGCTCGCAGCTCCATGCAATCAAAGAGTGCATAGATAAATCACCCGGCTAAATCCGGAGGGGTTCTCCATAGGTTTTTCCAAAGGGGTTTTTCTCTCGGCTCTACAGGGAGGGGGGTGGGGTGTTCGGTCCGCATGCCGTCACTGGGTGGCGGCGGGTTAAAAAACACGGCCAAAATGTCAATGCAAATTTAATGGCTGACAATTTATATGCATGCCAAGTGACTTTTGGCCAACTACTGAACTTTGTGTGAATGCGAAAGCAGCCGGGGAACTGGGGACAGTTTGGAGCATTCAAGTGGAGTGGAGTGGAGCAAAAAGCTGGAATGGGATATAGATTTGGAATGGGAATGGGAATGGAAATGGGAATGGCTAGAAAAAGTTCCGAAGGTGCCAAGTGGCTGTCAAACTTTTGCCATGGCGCCAGCGGCGGTGGAACGGAAACGGAGACGGAATTTTCGCCCAAATCGAATCGAATGGAATCGAAATGCGAAATCGAATGAAATTCCTCGTTTGTCCTTGTTGCCGCGGCTCATAAATTAAGGCAAAGGCAAAAGGCAAAAGGCAAAAGGCATGGCACGGCACGGCATGGCAAGGCAACGCATCGTCCTCCAAATTCGTCCTGCATTCGCCGCCCCGCAACATTAACGCTTTATTTATGCCGCCGCCGACATTTAAAATGCATTTCCTGTGACCAGGTATGGCCTCCAAAGATGGCCAAGAGAAATGGCCAAAAAGCCACGGATAAACAGAGTCGGCGGTTAAAAAAAAAGATATAAAAAAAGGATAAAGAAATTCGGAAGAAATATCTTTAAGACGTGTATTTATAACGCAACTGGGCAACTTTATAGCGACGCATCGGGCGCATAAATACGACAAGGTGTCCACGTGACTTGAGAAGCGATCAGGGGCAAACTCCGGGAACATGCCCCAGAGTAAGTACTTCAAAAAATAGGTCACCATTAAAGAACAAATGGGAATAAGAGTAATGTTTTTTTCTTAAATGAGAACTTTTTTTGGTATACTTTTTAGTCTACATCAATAATTGAATTAATTTCCCACTCTAAATAATTCCTATTTATTTTAATAGGTTATATAGTTCAGTAGCAAAATCCTTAAACATTAAAATTAGAGTTGAAATGAAGTAGAAAAATAAACTTGGGCACTAAATACAGAATATATAAACACTTTATAATGTTAATGAAGCCCTATGATTGGGGTAACCAAAAATTAAGCGATAACTTGGTAGAAACCTTTGGGGAGGAAAGGTAAACAACAGAGAGGATGATGAGGGTTAAAGGGTACAGCTCTTAAGGTGATGATGTGGCCTTAAGAGAAAAGGGGTTAATATTGGGTGAGTGGGGTAAGCTAATGAAGTTTAAACAGGGGAAAATAAATGATAAAGTAATTTATTGGTGGAGACACTTGCCAAGATAATGATACTGAGAAAAGTAAAAGGAAAAATAAAAATATATAAGAATAAGATAAATAGAAATTTAAATATAAAGAAGAACAAAGTTTTAAAGAAATATCTAGCTTACCATTTAATATCATTTATGATTTTTTTATTCCCAATTTAACACAATAAATAAATGTCACATTTTATTAAACAAAACCATATCATGGAAACATAACACATACATCTTAGAAACCCGGAAAACCCAAATATATTTTGACATATCTGCTGGTTCTCTATTACGTTCCCCCTCCCCAAAAAACCCCTCCTCTTCTTATCACTCAACCGATGTTGTGGCCAAATCCCCTTGGTTGTTATCAATCAACCGCATACAAGACACTCACAAGTGGTCAGTAAATTATTAATTAAGTTGAAAATCAAACAAGCAAACGGCAATCCTCATGATTGATGGCTAATTGGGCGAAGGAGTCGAGGGGAATTTGTCTCGTACCAAATCCATCATTTGACTCTCGCTGAATTTAAGCAATCGGAAGCCAATAAGGCCCACTGTGCCACTTGGGCATTATTTGCTGTACGAAACTGGATTCGGTTTTGCCATTTTGCAATGTGCAGCATAACAAAAGTCGCTTGTTTTTGGCCAACAGCAAACTGCAACAGCCAGTGGCAAGAAAAACCTCCCAAAACCGCAAGAAGTTGGTCAGTACGAAGGGTTTTTTCTAGTTTGGGACAACGTTATGCACTTAGAGGCGAATGAAACATGGGAAAAACAACCGAACAAAAACCAAATCTATAGGAGAAAAAAGGAAAAGAATGGACTGAAGGTATACAGTGACTGTAAAATACCTTAACTTGGTTTTAAATTTAATAAAGAATACAATTTACAAGACAAAATGAACCCTTAAATAACCAGTCTTTAAGGTAAACATTGATTACTTACTATGTAAAGACACCTATCCTATAGTATGTGGCATTTAATTGATTAATTTATAGCAAAATTCCATTTCCAATCATAATCCCTTTGAAATACCTTATACCTCTTATCAAATGCAATACACCGAGACCAAAATCTGGTATAGAGTGGTGGCAAAAAATGGTCGGAAAAGTTGGCAAATCAGCCACAAGCTGCAACTCCAAAGCCGGCACAGAGAGCGGAGAGTGTGGATAAAAGGCTTGGAAGCCTCGAGGCGAAACCAGTAGACGACTACAAGCGGGCGTGGCAGCCGCACTAGAAATTCCAGAGATTACCGTGACGGACCTAAAAGAGAGGAGAAGCCAGGAGGAGCTAGGATTCCAGTCGTTGCACCAGAGCAGCAGCTGCAGTGGCATCGCGGCCATGTGGCCAATGTGGCAAGTGATAACGCTGCTTGGGCTTCTGGCCGGCGCTTTGGGTCTCCACTCAACGCCGGATAGGGCCATGGCCATAAGCTCGCTGCTGCTTGGCCAGGACTTTGAGGATTTTCAACCGTATTACAGCCAAAAGAAAGAACAGGTAAGAGAACTGCAACATTTTGCATAAATAAAAGTCTTTAAGAATTGAGAGTTTTTAAAGAGTTATAAATATAGAACCTTTGGTTTAATCCTTCTTTGATTTTCCAGGAACCCGATCAGCTGGTGGCTGCCTCCAAGCATGAAGAGCACTCGGAGGGCGGCGAGGAGGAGTCCGGAGAGGAGCATCACAGCGAGCACTTCAAGAAGCATGGCGGCAAGGGCAAAAAGGGTCACAAGCACGAGGAGCACGAGGAGAAGGGCGAGAAAGGACACCATGACAAGGAGGGCAAGAAGGGCGAGCATGGCGGTGAGGAAGGTCACGAGAAGAAGCACAAACACTCCGAGGCTCATCACAAAAAGAAGAAAAAGGGATCCAAGGGTGAGAAGGGCAGCGAGTTCGAGGATCATGGCTCCTACAAAAAAGGACATTCCATCAAGGGAAAACACCATGTCCACAAGCTGGACGAGAACAAGAAGGAGAAGAAGTTCTACGACGAGGATCACGATGAAGGTGGCGAGGAGAAGCATGGCGGCTTTGAGGAGGGCAAAAAGCACAAAAAGGGCAGCAGCTTCAAGAAGGGCGGCCACAAGAAGGGTGGCCATGAGGAGCACTTCGGCAAAAAGGGTCACAGCAAGAAGGGACACAAGAAGAAGGGTCACAAGGGTCACAAGAAGAAGCACGAGGAGGCCAAAAAGTGGGGCCACAAGAAGGAGCACGGCAAGAAGGGCGGCGAGGAGCACAAAAAGAAGTGGCACAAGTCCCACAAACAGAGCAGCGAACATGACCATGGACATCATTGAACTAAGCAGCGGATTCTATGCCCAATATCTCCAATGTTTATATGTTTTTTTCTTTTTTGTTAAGCATTAAAAGCAGATAATTCAGACCCAAAGAACTTGAAGAAATGTTAAAGAGATCTCCTCTTTATTTTTGAAAATTAATTAATATGTAAAAGCTGCCACAGTTTCTGATATATCCGTATGTTCCTTGTGCCCTAGCTGTAATCCCTTTTACAGGATATTCAGGTCACTGCAAATCCCATCTGGCTTAACATATCTAATGCACACAGAGACCCCTTAGAGGCCCACCTAGATATAAGTAGTTATCTTTAAATTACCTTTGGAAAGCCTCAAATATTACTTTGCATCTGCTTGGTAAGAGATTATGCTGGACATATTCCCAGGCGGACAGACAGATGGAGCATGGAGCACAGATTAAAGAAAACATAATTACAGAGAGAATCGGAGCCAAGTTCTCGAAGGTTCCGGAGATCAATTGAAGCTGTTGGCCCCTCCCCTCTTGACCCTTTTGGCACACACACCTGCAGTGGACTAATTGCCAAAACGGTAAGTGAAATATGAATATGCCAGAGAAGGCGACGGCGATGGCGACGGAGATGTAGGACAGGACCAACCTGCCGTGTCAAAGGTTAATTACGCATACTGCAGGTCCTGTCCCAACACGCACACACGGACACACACACACACAGCTTCGGATACACACACATACACATTTATGAGAGTTTGCTTAAGCCATTTCCGGTTCGATTTTAGCAAAATCTTGTCCATTTTCCAGCCTAAGCAAACAAAACGGAAACTGGCTTAGTCGGAGCAACACCAAGAGAGAGAGAGAGAGAGATGGACAGGGGATGTGAAGGCAAAGGATCCGGCAAGAACAAGCAGCTTTGTTTGGATTCATATGCTAATCCCTCAGACCAGCGTCATAAATCATTTTCAACCAACTGGAGAATAGTCGGCGACCCGGGTAAGGCTCAACCTCGGACAATCGAGGTCGGGGTTAAGTAAAGTTCGTCTGGTCCTAAAAGCCTTTGCCTCACAGTCAGCCCTGTGGATTTTTCCCAGAGATATTCTAGGAGCATGCCAAGGCATAAATAGTTTTTCCAAATAATAACTTAAAGACTATAAACCATGACAAGAGAAAATAAATAAAGAATTTAAATCGGAAAATAAAGCACCCTTTTTCAGCCTAGATACATATAATTTAATAATGTTTTGAAAGGGTGTTCTTTAAACAACTTCAATTTCTTGTTAAAGATAGAAATTTCAATTTAAAGTTGATTAGCTACAAATCTAGCTTAAAGTAATGCCTTTTATAGCAACATTACATTTTCTTTTTCCTTCTTTTCTAGATTTTCCCCTCACTTTCTGTGATGACTTATACTGGAAGGAATATATATGTTAAACCAGATCCTTGGGGATCTGCATTGCCTGCAGCAGCATAACTGCAAGGGCCAATAACATCAACATGAATATATGAGGAACTGTAGGCCCAGTCTTCATCTTGGACTCCAAAGGACACTATTTTCGTCTCAGTCTTTTGTATCTGATTTCGAGTAACTTTTGGCTGTAAGGTGAGTTAGCAGTCAACAGATGAAATTATATTCTACCTTAATGCAAATGCACAGAACAAATATAATAAATATACAAGAATATATTATAGGGAAAGCATTTAAAGAGAAATGATCTATATTCTCAAAAGATTAATAGAGTAACTAACCAATCTTTGACCTCCTCCTACTTTCCTTATATATATAACTTTTACATGAAACGGAATATTCTTCAGTTATATATTTTAATTTTAATCTTAATCTCCTTTTTATTTACCCAAACCCTCTTATTTTTCTTTGAGTGCATATATAAGTACGATGCGTATTTGCAGCATCTCTTATTGTTTTTGGAAAATTGCCTGAGCAGCAGAAGCAACAAGAATCCCACATGGCCACTGGGCAAATGCATTAACGAAAGTGGCTGAGAGTGCAACACAAGGGGTGTGCATTCGAAAGCTTTTGGGGCAGACTTCATAGGGAGAGTGAGAGAGAAAGAGAGACCCAAGGACTCAGGATGGAGGGCCTCCGCAGGAGCGGAAGGATACGAAGCGTTGCCGTGTGTGGCCTGGTGTATCAGCACTAAGAGATCATAATTCACACAAGTCGGCTAATAATTCAGTTAAGTTGAAATGTGCAGCACACACAAGTTGCACACAAGTTGCCGAAGCAGGAGCGGGGTATCCTGGATATCAGGATATCAGAGAGGGGTCACAGGGGTCACACACATACTGCCACCCACTGGGGAGCCATAAGCAAGTGCGAGCGAGTTGGCAAGAAGCTCTACAATTTGCGTTTATAGTTTTAGTTTTTGAACTTTAGTTTTTGGGGGGTCTAAAAAAAAGTAAAACAAATAAAGTATTAGGAAAACCATAAAATGCCAGCTAATATGGGTAATTAGGAAATATGAAGTCTTAAAGTTTTTATTTTACACGAAACACAAGAAAGCATTTATAAAATTTAATTACTATATGTTATAGATTATTATTTCTCTTTGAATATTTAAAAGATTTAAATTATTTTTCCAAAAATATTCCCCTTTATTTGCAACTTTTAATGCTTTGTAAGTTTTGCTGAAATTTTAAGGGATTTTCAATGTTCTTGCAAATTAGTTTTCCAGCCTGACTTTATGGGTGTATGAGGAGGATAGCATATGAAAAAGTTTACTGCTTAAGGGGGACCAAAGGCTTGGCTTCGTCCTGTGCTCCTTTAGCATTTCGTCCTGTGTGCTGGGCTCCTTCTTTTTCACTACATCTCCTGCTGCTTGGCTTCTTTGCTGTTATGCTAAATCTTTGGCTTTGTTTGTTGTGGTAAAATGCAGCAGGACTTTTCTGCCAAGAGGCATAAAAACTCACTGGTGGAGAAACGATTCGCGAAATTTCAAAGATCTTTGCCAGGTTTTGAAAAAGAAAGTTAAATTTCCATTAAATAATTATTTAAACTTTAGTTCTGGTAATAAAAACCCTAAAAGCTGGTAACTAACCTTTACAATTAAGGATCTAATTGCGAGATGCGGCATGCTGGCGGACAATTAGGACAGCTCGTAAATATGCCAGAATGCGCTCGAATGCATCAATGAATGTGTCAATGATTAGGCACGCCGGAATGGAGGACAAAGGATGCGCCCACGTTGATGGGGCCCATCGAAATGTTGCACTTTGCCGGCGCCTCGATGGCGCCTAATGCAACTGCAGTGTAATGGCAGGCAGCAGGCAGCAGGACGAGGCAGGACGATGCCATAATCAAGCGAATGGAAGCGAAGGCCAACGACGGTCATGCTCGATAAATGCACAAGCAGAAAAAATATAGTGGTTTCAGGGGAAACAATAGCTTATGGTACTTTTATATATTTATTTAAAATTTTTACAAAATAATATGGAAATAAATCTCCAAGGATCTTAAATTCAAAATACATATTTTGCCTTCTTAAGTAAGCAAAATTTTATTAAAAATGTTTCGAATTTATTTACGTAAAGTTGTTTCTAAGAGTGCTCTAAAAATTCCCAAAATAAATCTCCAAGAATATTAAATTCAAAATAAATATTTTGCCTTCTTAAATAAGCAACTTTTTATTAAATTTGTTAGGATTTATTAACGTAAAGTTGTTTCTAAGAGTGCTCTAAAATTTTCCCAAGTCGGAATTCGGTTTAGTTTTTTGTGGTCAAAGCAAAACAAATTGTTTAAGCAACCTGCTTAATCCCTATTTCAAATATTGATTTGTTTAAATAACCAAAAATGTTTATATTAATTATCAGTATTTACACATATATTTTTTAACCACTTTTCTATGATGCAAGAAGGTATATATATTTCTATAATAAATGATAATTTAGATAAGCTCATATATGTATGTAGTTGATAAGAAACCCCTATAATCAGTTTGATAAGAAAACAAAACACAGTTCATACACCAAGCTAAAAAAGTATATGGAACTGGAATTATAAACTGATAATATATATTTTTTCTATGACATTTTTGTTAATATTTTCCCCCAGTGTACATACCCTCACACCCGATTAAAGACAGACACACGGTCGGGGCCATTGCAGTCAATTTATTGTGACCAATATAACGCCCGGACAGACTCGGATAGCCGGAATAGCTCCCGTTCCGGCAGAGTAGGACGAGGATGAGGACGCGGATGGGCGAACTGGCTGGGAGTGTGGGTGGAACTCACTGGGTGCATGTAAATTGAAAATTATGGCAATGCGCAACAAGATTAGCCAGTGGTGTGCCGTCGGTTCGGAACCTTCGACCAGGCGGCGTTCCCTAACAAGACCCAAATGAATTTATCGAGATGAAGTGAGCGGGAGGGCGAGAGAGAGATACGCGAAATGCACAAACATAAACTAAATGAATGCCCATGGCAGACAAATGAAGTTATGACTTAATGTATACAGTTATCCATATCTAGAGAAACGGAATGGAAAAAGCCCTAGAGCTCTATCCAAATATCTATGCACGAAAATAAAGTTACATGCGAATATATCCAGATGATATGCAGATATTCCGCAGGAAAAGATTAGCCAAGCGTTAAAAATAATAGTAAAGAAAAAGGAACTTAAAACACTAACAAATGTAATTCGGTATCCAAATATTTTCTTAAGCTTATATTTAAACAAAAAATTTATTATAAAATAAGAAAGGATTCTAACTTTAGGAACCAGAAATTTCTTTACCTTCTGTAGATCATAACTCAGTCAAAAATTCATTAATTTTCAATCGGAATGCTTTCCTGTGTTAGTTTTTATTAGGTTTATAAAGCTGCATACTCAGTTAAAAATATTACATTTTTGCCAATTTTTGAAAATTTTAACGATGTAACCCCTTATAAAATCTGAAAAAATGTACTAAAATTTGTTTTGTCCAAACAAGGCTAGATCGATTCCTCTTTTCATGCTGATCAAGAATATATATGATTTATAGGGTTAAAAACGAATCCTTCACTTCCTTTC